AAAACGAGAGGTGTTCGCCACCCCTCGCTTTCCGTAGAACCCGCCCCTCCCCTTACGCCTCCTGGTGTGACAGGGTTTTATTTGTCTTGTATTTTTGTTTGTTTTTTGGTTCAGTTTTTTGTTGATTAAAAAAAAAAATTTTTTGGTGGGGGGAAGGATGTTTTGCTTTATTGATGTTCTGGGCGTAATTCGACATCATAATTAATATTTGTACGATAGAACATGCACAATACATACATAATATCAGTTACAGTGTAGCAAGATGCTTTTTAAAAGTTATAGGCCTACAATGTAATTAACAATGTGATATAATTTACCTTAACAATGATCTTCTGATAGGGAAGCAGTCAAATCAAAAGTTTTTTACATTGTTCAGAAACAAAATCACGATTGTCATCCCCTCCCCAATGCCTTCTCTTCAACTTGTTCTAAGTGTCGGGGTTGGAGTGGAAGTGTAGTTTAGGTGAGTGATTAAATTACAAGCCACGGGATGCTAACAATTCTGATTTATTTTGTCAGTTAAAAATTGTTTGTAAGTGTTCACACCTTTATTCTGCGTCCCAAATAGTTAAACATACCGTGACCCCAGTGCTTTCTTGTCGTATCTCCATTTTTAATACCAGTGAAAACAGCTGTGCGTGTGTGTTTTTGCACGCCTGCGCATGTGTGTGTATATGTGTGTACAACTTTAAGAAGGTAAATCTATGGAAGGAGAATTGCTGAAATTTTTTATAATAGACAGCACAAATTAATACAAAAAAAAACACGGTGAGATCTAGTCAATAGTTACTGGTGATGGAAACCCAAGAGTCTTGGGGGAAACCCCGGAAGACGACAAAAATAGATGGCGGAAATACGTCCTCTATATTTGGGTCAATCATAGAGATGTGCTAGGTGCTCGCTGTAGTTTCATGTGGTTGCATGGGCAAGCTACTGTTTGGCATCATGGACTGCTGATCCAGTGTTAGGGTCAGATTTGGGAAAAGACTTGTGCACAGGTTTTGGGGGTCAAACTGCTGTATTTTTGACTGCTGAACACACAGTGGCCAATTCTCGCAAGTCAATTGTTTTCAAGAAAAATCAAACTAATAGCTAAACATTAAATTATGCTGAAAAAATGGGGATGCGGGAGAAGAGGCCCCCCCCCCCCCCTGAAATCCTCCAGATTAAAAAAAATGTGCAAAATATTACTTACTCAATTAGATCTCTTGGATTTTATATAATATTGTAGGCCCATAATAAAATAGGCCTATTGTTTGAGTGAAATCATCAAATATTTAAAAAACTAATTCTATGAAATGGATATAAAGTTGAATTTTTTGTGAAACTGATAAGAATCTAAATTGTTGGGAATAGCAACGTCTGTGATGTAAAAATTTATATATACCTGTTTATACAGGTAATTCACTATTACATGGTAGTTAAAGCAGGTTTGCTTATAAATACTGGATCTGGATCATTTTTCTGTATTCTGTTTTTCTGTTACAGTGAGTTTGACTCACTTATGTTTGCACATCTGTTGTGTCTAATGAAAGCCTTAGAGCAACAATTCTTTTAAACACTGTGTAGTCATTGAGTTGATCTCCAGTGTGGCACTTCCAATGGAAACAATTTTTAAAAAGCTCTATGTGCTTTGGGAAAGACAGGAAAATTAAGTCACTGCGGGAAAAGTTGGTTTTCAGCATTCATCCTTTAGAAACCTGTGGCAGAAGTTTCAGAAATAAGCATAGATAAGTCCAAACTTCATTTCAATTGCAGTTAGTTAGAAGTTACTTTTAATATATGAATTTGATTGTTTCCAATATGTTTGTGGAATAAATATCATTTTGATATAAAGGTGAGCACGCATTTTAACTTTCTTCCTCCTCTTCTTTGTTCATCAGAAATATGGCAGTTCCTCCTGGAAAGACACCAATCAGCTTCTTGCAGGAATATGCAACAAAAAATGCGATCACCCCACAATATGATTTGATTGCAAACGAGGGTGCTGTCCATGAGCCAACATTCATCATGCGAGTCTCAGTTGGTGATCGCGCTGTTGCAAATGGGAAAGGTAAGTGGTTTTGGTTTATGCCAAATCACAAGTACCAGGAAGAGATTTTTTTTTTTATTGAGCATTCCGTATGTTCCCTTCTCACATCAGGTCAGCACCATGTATCATACATCAATACTCGCGGGAGAAATTGAGGCATTCACTGAAGAAAATTCTTTTCCGATATCTTTAGCGACAGCCGAGATTTTATCGTAGAAAGAAGATTGGTCGGTAGCGAGACTGAAACCCGCCGAATTGCACTGTGGTTTTCTGCCTCTCCGTATTTGAAAGGCGCAGAATCCATCTAAATATTATCTAAACGACTCCAAATGAGAAGGAAGATGGATCTGGCCTCCGCGAATTTCTGTGTCTTAAGGCCAAGGTTGGCAGAGAGAATCAAATATTTCCTTCAATTTTATGATTTTCTGTGTATGCAATATTATTATTCTATATCCACTTACTCATCTTTGGAAATACAGTATTCTAGAGCCTAAAATTATCTATAAGTCTATGAAAATGCAGCCTACAGGCAGGCAGGCAATCACATCAAATACAAATTTTGTCCCATCCATAGGTAAATATGCTGCAAAGTTGTTTTTTTAATGATTTTTTAAAAGTTAAGCGGCGTGGCCTTATAATTGCATAATATACGTTCACAAATTTCACTAATTCATAAAAAATACAGCTATTCATTTATTGAACTGTAAATCAGACAAAATGTGCCTGATGTTGATGACAGTAGGTGTGCTAACTTTCATAGCTGTTGGACGGATAACGAATGAGAAATGTTCCATGGAAATACACTGAAAAGTCCAGATGGCGGCTGTTTTTGCCCATTTCTATGGCAACCAAAGCATTTTTCGAAAATTGAAATGTATCACTTGTGAAGAAAATGTCAGTGAGGTATGGTTATCACAAGTAAGTAGATGGGAAGTTACCTGTCTAGCTTTTAGTTTTCACTGTAGACCTTGACCTTAATCGAGCTAAAAACAAGAAAGTTACAAGGTGGTTTCTTTGAGGTGATTGTTTTAAAAAATGTGTCATCGATTAATCCGCAGAATGCTCCTGCATCATCTCAGACAAGCTGATTAGCTGAACTTATAAATAATATTAGATACTCTTTCGTGAAATTATCCGTAAAACAATCACATTTTGAAACAAATAACGTTGACATCGTTCCTGTTCTTCGCGTGGCCCGAATGCCAGAAGGGGAAACACTGCCACGCAGAGGAAAAGCTTGTCGCGAGACATGTAAGCTTGCCGCCATTTCGCTGTGACGTCATGGCTGTGTTTAGGCGTAGCCCCTGATTGGACATTTATTTTGATCGGCCTGAATACTGCGGAGAACACCGTACTCATAGACACGGACGTAATGAAGGTTTCTTTCTATTTGCCGTCACAAATATTTGGGCTTAATTTTGGGTTTACGCGAATTTAGTGCTTATATGGACTTCAAAATAACTGCATATTATATTCTTCCAGTATTTACAATGTTTTTGGCAGAAGCAGAATGAAGATTACTCAGGTATATTTCTGTGGATTTATGCATTATGCAGAGATGCCAACCAGTACGATTTTACGTATTTTAGTACGATTTTTTGCCGAAAATACGCGAATACGACTTTTCATGAAAAAATACGCATCCTGGAATGCGAAAAATACGAGATTGAGTAAACCTATCTCAAGTCCCATCTTTTGTCAAAATAGTATCAGTATCGCAGAACTGGAATATTTGAAAACCAAGTCCAAAGTGGTTAGCAAGTTTATTTTTGCCGGTCGATCGTGATATTATATTCGTTCAGCTTCTCCCGGTCCGGAGAGTACGTTTCACTTTCACGCGAATAGGCAGCTATGGCGGCAGGCGGAAGCGTATGTGACACCGAGGCTCGATCGGGAAAATCAAGATCTACTTTGGCTTTCGTTACCACCGAGTAGTTTGCCAGCAGTTGTCTAATAACGCAACTTTTGTGACATGCAGGTTGTGCAGTATAAACGCAAGGTCGCTGTGCAAATAAAATTTAATCAATGCTCGGATTTGCCTCTGTGCTGTCACTTGTGGAAAAAAAAGAAAAGAAAATACAAGCGTAGTCCGATTTTTAGATTGTCTGGCTCGCCATCGTGACCGGTCACTGAACCTGCGCGCATTCGTGTCATAAATAAATGCGGCATTGTGTGAGCAAAGCCTACTTACTCATAATAATGATAAGAGCAGAAAAACAATGTTATTATTACAGAATATACACACATCAAATATGAATGAATTTAATTATGTAGTTCTGAGGCATATTTTCATGGTATGGAAGGGAGGGTGGGAAAATATCTTCGCTAGGCTAAAATAACTATGTAATTGATTAGTTATGCGCATCATCACTTTGAGTTATTTGCATATATATACTTGTATTATAGTTTCAGTTATAATATTTAAAAAAAAAAAGAAACTGAGCTTTGATATTATTTATTTACCTTTTAGTTTCCCCTCTTTCTAAGTTGTTTGGTTACAATTTGGTTAATTAATTATGCTATGAGTGCATAATCAAATATTTAAAACTTTGTTTTGTTACATTTTCTAATTTGTCTCTTTGCAAACACAGATTTGTATAGATATCCACATGTAACAGAATGGACGTATGTCTATTGTTAAGACATATATTGGCTTATTCTTTTAGATTATGCATATTTAATTACTTATTTGCATATAATTACCAAGGTATTGAGATTACAACTTTCATTCTTCCATTTTCTATTTTGTTGCCCCCAAAAACATGAATTCCTCAATTTTCAGCTCATTCCTTTCGTATGTGAAAGTTATGGGTTTTCAATATTCTGGTGCTGTTTGCCCTTCTTTATTCCTCTATAGGAATTTTCTCAAAAGTACCCACAATTTCCGACATGTACACAGCCGTAACTTTTTTTATTTATTGGGGGATTTTGACAAATTAAAAAGCTTTTTACGTCTGGATTATTGACCTTTGTACATATGTTGTTTATAGATTAGTAGTACCCATCTTTAAAAAAGCTGTGGTATTGACATATATCCTACTTTGCCTAAAGCATATGTGAGGCAGCGTGGGGAAATCAGGCTCTCGTCAAAATGATGAAAGTGAAGAAATTGGCTTTTTTCCGCAGTTGTTTGGGAATTTTTATCAAAAATTATTTTTTTTGGCTCAACGCCTTTCATGTCAATTAAAGAACACATTTCTGTGTAGATTGTCCTGAAAAACGTCAATTAAGGGCATAAAAAATGTAAATTTTCAGTGTCCTAGGGCTCTCAGGCTATGGCAGTTACCAAGCTTTGGCCACCATTTTCTTGCTAATTTTACCTCTGAAACCAGACTACCCTGCCCTCCTTCAATCGCAAATATTTTGACTTCTATTCAATATAGATGTGTATTTTTTTCACCAAAAGGCAGGCAAATGAACAGGTTTTAAGATGATACCAATAACCCCACAAGCCCCAATAATTGACGAGCACCTAATGCCACCACATCGTCACACATATGTAATAATATGGCCACGCAAAAGTCCGTCTTACCATAACTTATCAACGTGACAGGACCTGAGCATTCCTTTGTAATATTTTGTGTGATTGATATCTCTTTCAGTGAAAACTTATCTCACTATTATTGTCATAACTTTCTCCTCCAGTAGACAATGTATAATGTTACTACTTATTAAATATTTCGTTTTTAAACAAAATGATAACTTTTGCCCTTATATTAATACATTCACCTGGGTAAAGAATTGGACTTGTAAGCAATAAATCGGGCTTGGAAAAAAATGTTTGCCTAGTGTACTTGCTTTGATTTGATCATTCTGAGAGATTAAATTCAAATTTGTAGTAAGAATCTAGTCTTTTGCCCAAGGTTGTGTGTATTTTGCGACACATTTCTTTTGTGCCGCTATTTGTCATGCTTTGAATAAAAGGGGACAGGTGGAAAGTCCACCAAGTCAAGTCAGAGAGTCGGCCAGCTCTGTTTTAAGTTTGAGAATTATGGGTTCTTGTTCTATGTTTTTTGAATTAGCTTCTTGAGGACCTTACATAAAGTGTACACTTTGGCAAACAGTGTGGTCTGTATGTTCAGCTTTTGTTGAGAAATCAAAACTGATTTTTTCACATGTCAGGTGGAATAAATTTTAACCTCTGGTGCTGTAAAAAGAAGAAAAAGGAAATAAAGGTGGCTGGTAAGTGAAATCACCAACATTCATCCTGTATTGTTTTCATTGTTCTTTTGAGAACAATTTTTTTCGCCCAATACCATTATTTTGAATTATCATTCAATAATTGTGTTTCTGTCTGAGAAGGAACTGCTCCTTTCCTTCCGTGCTATTGCTATTTATTTTGTGGGAATCGGAGCAAGACATTCCTAAAGATACACACACAAACTTTGCGTACTGGATGATGAAGACTTATTACATATCACTTATTTTCAATTTTATTTGTTTGATAATATATTGTCATGTATTTGAATATTGCAGGATCCAGTAAGAAAAAGGCAAAACATGCTGCGGCTCAAAGTGCCCTGAATATTCTGATGGGTGTCTCAAATGGCCAGGAGGAAGCAGTTAAGGATGAACCAAATACGTGAGTTTCATGAATGTATTAATTAATACTACAGTTTTTGTTAAAAAGCAGTTAATACAAGGCTTGAGTAACTTAATACAAAGATGCAATATGGTCGCAATGAATGACATTAGGTTAAGATTTTTGTTTTAAATTTGGGCTGGCCAGCATTCCAAGATATTGAAATTTCCTTTCGCTTTAAAAATACTCATACGGATATAAGTGTAGGGTTTTTACTTTTTCTAATGATTACTAGAAAATATGTCCCGCAACTTAGCCATTTTGGCTGGTCATTGATAACATTTCAAATTTTTGCCATGAATCCAATTCTGTTTATCAGACTTTTTGTTTTGTGACAGGAAGGCTGAGGGTCATTGGAGTAGGCGAGTTGCTCCAATTTTCATATGTACAGTTTGCCTGCATTCCGTTAACGATTCTGTTCTTTGGAAGAAAACCCAGTGGTTTGTTTGTGTAATGAGTGTGTAGTGTAGGCTGCAATAAGTATTCACTCTGGATTGATAATTATTATATAGAATTTGAACAAGACCCAGAACATGAAAGCTGAAAGCAGTGTGTTAAAATTTTTTTATAAATCTTTTTTTTTTCAGCCCTGCTGCCCCAGCACAATCCAAGGATGATGAAGTTGGCAACCCCATTGGCGAGCTGCAGGAGTTTACGCAAAAAAAGCTATTGAAACCGCCCATCTATGAATTTGTAACTGAACAAGGCCCTCCCCATGCCAGGGAGTTTATCTGCAACATCAAACTGGGAAAATTTGTTGATAAAGGTAAAGTCTGAAAGAGGAAACCTACAGTCTTGAGAACTTACAAATATAGACCAAAAAATGACAGACGGTAGCTAAATATTGACTTATAGCATTTCTTTTTCTTGTTTGTGATGAAGATTTTGCATTCCATCCTTATGCAAACATATTTCTCATGAGTTCGGATGGTGTGAAAGTAATGTCCCTTTTATGTGGTTGGAGTTCAATGTGTGGACCATCGTTCATTCATTTATTCTATCTTGCTCCGTTGGGAGCAGAAAAATAAATGTTTTTGAAGCAGAAGTGCTTTTCACTGTATTGAAATCAAGAAGTCAATTATTTAAAATATTTCATTTGAATATATTGGGGTGAATAAGAGTTGAGTTTTTAGGCATTGAAATTTCTCATCGGAGTATTGGTCCTACATATTTTTTGTATCTTTGTAATGATGCTTTTTGTCTTTTCTCAGGCACTGGACGTTCAAAGAAAACTGCCAAGCGCACAGCAGCTGCTAGAATGTTGGAGCAGCTCCGTGCTCTTACCCAGGACAAGGAATCCGAGAAGCAACTTGATGACTCAGATGAGGACGAAGAAATCCCACTGGTTTGTCCTAGCCTTCTTCATTCTTTTGTTGTGTTGTTAACTCCAGGCTGAGAAATGCCTTTGAAGTGACTTGCTTTGTATCTATTAACCTGTTAAATTGGACTGGACTCAAAGCAAGTGGTATGCGAGGAGATATATGATATTGCATTGTGAAATTCTTACATATATTCCAGACAGACTTTCAATCTGGTTTCATTTCTCTGTTGAAGACCTTTTAATTTTGGTTGGCAATTCGTCAAAATATCTGAAAATTTGCGAATGCAGTGTCTTTTCTTTTTGTAACTCTAAATCAGTAGGCCAAAGTAGGAGAAAATTACTCAAAATGCATTGAAATAACTCTCTAAAAAATGAGACAAAAACCGATACTATTGCATGTGTCGCTTAAGGGCATTTCATGAGATAACATATTAGATATATTGATTTCAGCTGGGCCAGAAACTATTGATTTTAATTTTCAAGATGGATTTTTGTTTTTATTAATTTAATCACTGTGGCTAAAATTCATTTTTCATTATTGGGTCGACTTGAAGGCCAGACTGAAACTGCACTTGCTCCCAGGCCATAGTTTGCTTACTCTAAGGTATCGAATAAAGGGGGGGGGGGGGGGGGAGGGGGCGGACAAGTCCAAAATTAATAAACAGGAGGTTGGAATAAGAGGGGAGGGGGGCACATTCAACCTCACACCCCCTGTACTAGTAGGGACAAGTCTGTTTTATTTCTTCTTCAGTGAATAAAAGAACAAGAGATCATGAAAATTTTAGTAAGCTACTGTGATGAATTTTACCATTTAGGGACAAACCAGTTTTATTACAAAATATAAACCAATGTACAAAAGTTTTTAAAATGCAAAGAAAATAGAGGTAGCCAACCCGGTACCGGTACTAATACTGAGGGTAATTTGCCACTTACAAAAAAAAAAAAAGAAGTTTCATTCAGATATCTAGATTCTAGATGTCCGTCGTGGCAAGCTGGAAAATAATAAATGCAGGGTATGGAATGAGCGGGCGGGTGTATACAAAAAAACTGAAAATTAATAAGCGGGGGGAAAGGCTTATTCGATACCTTAGAGTTTGCCTTCTTTATTTAGAAAGTACACTGATTTTGTTTAGCAATGAATGTACAGTCTGATTTGAACTTTTTCCCAATTATGTACCTGTGGTGTGTTTGTATGTGTTACTTTAAGCATAGCCTGTTCAGGGAACTCTATATCGTGTCAAAAGTTAGGCCTACATGGATAAAAATTATTAGCGCCGGGAAATTTTTATTTTAAGTTATGGCCACTTTTAGAAAGTTGGAATATTTGTTGCTTGCATCGTCCCAAATAGGAAGTTACTGAGAGATGAAAAAAGGTCGTATTCCTGAAGACTTCTTCAAGCTCATCGCCCTTTGTGTACCCTTTTTTAGTTTGTGAACACAGTGATTGCCAAGTTGTATAGTTTTGCACAATGATAGTCACCAGCATGCATCAGAATGTGAGTTAAATGATAGTGATAATGTTAGCAACTTGAGCTACATGTATGATATAGAACATTGAAAGATGATATGGTATCTCCTTTTTTATTCATGTGTACATTCATTATTTATCATATAATGAGAATGAATCCCACATTTGTAATATTTTTTCTGTTAATAACCGAAAGGGAGTGTTGTCAGACCCTCATATATAAACAGTGACTAGGGATGGTCATTTTTTATTTTTTTTAATGAATGTGAAATGAAAAGAAAGAATTTTCCCTTTTTTTTTATCTCAGCCTGCTTCCATCTGAGCACCTTTGGCTTGAAATAATATCTGTATATAATCTAGCATGCACAAAGTGAACAGGTTTTCATCTCGTGATATTTTTCCTGAATTAGATGTGTTTATTAAAGAAACGTAGCTTTTCTGAGAGCATCCGAGCAAAGGAATGAATGGAAAATCATGATCGCCGATGTCTGTCGCAGATCTGGCACTGGATGATGATGATGATGATAAAAGAACATACAAACACGTCCTGCTGATTTCACCATACCATGCTATATACTTTTGTAATACTAAACTTTTTCTGTTTGATTAGGGTTTTGACTCCAAGACGTCCTACTCCAGCCTGAAGCAGTCAAAGGGAAACAAAAATCCTGTGAGCCCCCAGTCTGCCCTGGAAATTCAACGATTTTACGAGAAAGTGATGATTGCAGGAGGCAAGCAGGTCAGGGGCCAAGGACAGTCCTTGACTCCACCCACCAATTATTGTCAGATGCTGCAAGAGATCGCTGAAGTCCAGCGCTTTGAGGTGCAGTACTTTGACATCAAGGATGACAGCACTCTGGGTAAGACCAAGTTTTTTTGTTGTTGTATTTTAAGGTGACAGGTGTAAGCTCAAATAACTCGTGGATAATGGTACGGGTCCTGTACCCCCTACAGGATGGACTTTGTGGTTTTGTTCCAAAACCTGTGCTCCCGTCATTTTCATTTTGTGCTAAGTTTGGCTGAAGTAATTGAAGGTGAAGGACAGTCACCCCAACTGGAGTTGGACTGACAGGAACTAGCGGTATGTTTTTTCTATACAGTTGATAGTAACTTGATAGTCGCGTCGAAGTAACAGTTAGAGAAGTCGCATGAACAGGAATCACATAGTTTCGCTGTTTTCGATACTTCTGTTCGTTTTACTAGTTCTAATGGCTCAGAATATGATGTGTCTGATAGTTGGGACCCTGGGTATGTATCCGAACGCGGCCTGAGTCGTAGTTTTATGGCTAGATCTAGCACTACTACTGGTGCTATTGTTAGCACACTGAAATCAGAACTTCGCGCCCTACATCTATCTCATGTAATTCAGTGTATGGGTCTAAATCAACACACTGCCCGGCTTTTATACTTTCACTTAACACTCACACATGCATACAAATCAAAACAGAACACTTTGAACTTTTATTTTTGTGTGTTGTGAATTTCATTCTGTCACATCTCTGGAAATTTTTCGGAAAATCAAATTCATGCCAACTTTTGAAAAAATCAAAAGAATTAAAGTATTAGACTTAGACAACTTTAGTTTTTTGTATTAGATTAAGTAAGCTTCAATATAACTTAACTGTGTCAAAAAATAATTACAATAGGATAATTCTGAAAGTTGTGGTGATTTGAAATACTCCCAAAAGCTCCTGCATTCAGCGCTAGTGACTGGTGAAAGGGCCCAATAAGCAGTGAGTTAAGACAGCAGTCATTAGGAGGCGAAAAAATGTGTATACTTTTGCCGATGAAGTTGTGGGTACCCCGCGGGGCAGTGCCACTGACTTTAGTGTCTTTAGGCCATTCCCAAAGGGGGGACGTTTCTCGTTCAAGCGTAGTAGAATTGTAAATGGGCTGACTCATGTCACGCTCATAACTGTACCTGATCTACAACAGGGAACCGCTGCTTTTTCTTTCCCGATCCTTACTATTGTCATTTTCCTCTACTTCTTTTGTATGTTTGTCACTCTCTTGTGACCTGCTATTTCCGGGGCGCCTTGATAGTTGAAGCAGACCTTGTGCTGTTGAAGTTACAGAGGTGAGCAGTCTTAGTCTGATTCCCTGTAAAGACTTCTCTTTTGACATCCACCCCGTGGCGCTCATATGACCGTATGCAGTTGCGTGTGCCGCAAAACCCTCTACGATAAAAAAAAAAAAAAAAAAGTTGTTGTTGGGCAAATTTTTAAGGGGCACAACTCAGTTCCCTCTGGTTAACTTCTTGGTTATCCCCCTTGTTTTATTCTTTGATGAAATAGTATCACCCATTGGCGGTACTGGCGTTCAAGGGACGATAGAGACCAGTTTTTTTTTTTTTTTTTAAAAATATTTTTTATCAGTGTGTGTGTGCATGTATTTTATGAGTGCTGTATGTTGTCAGGGTGCAAGTGAAACTTGGTGATTTCAGACTTCTGAGTGAATTTCCAGGATGCAGCATTGTCACTGTGGTTTGATAGCATATTTAACTTCCGTTTCATAAAAGTGAGCGCAAAGAATGGCATGTGTGGGGGCCAGCTCTTGTAAGGCAGTTCGACTCTTTGACTTGATCAGGTGAGAGGAACAAGAGACAACCAATCAAAGAGTACTTCCTGATTGACCTGCTTGGAAGAGCTTTCATCCATGCCTGAAAAAAATGTTTCCTGTAACTGTGCAAGCAGTGTGTAGATTTTGCAGTCCCATTACTCACAACGTCTCCGCTCTGTTTCTACTGTTTCCTTCTTCATTAAGGGGAGGAGCGACCCTCAGTTTGGCTGATTTTGGGTCAAGCTATGCGAATTGAGATGTTGGCTGATTTTTTAAGATCAACCAGTTCTTTGTCTAAAAATAGCAAGAAGACAACTGAAAAAGTCTTTATCCTCCTCATAAATTGCCTTTGAAAATATAAGGGTGAGTTTTCACAATAATTGTCGTTTTTCTCAAAATATCATTTTTTTTCTCAGTTTTTTCCTACTCCTTCCTTAGTTTTCATCCTTTTGACTTGAAACATTCAGGAAACATAGATGGCAAGGCTGCCATCAATGTAACAGAGAGATACTTACAAAAAAAATAACGTTTTCCATTTGCAAGCAATTACGCAACCGAAATTTAGAAAAGTTTTATTTATACATTGGGAAAATTCTCTTTTTTTTTTTTCTTTTGCTCTTATTGAAAAAAAACTTGCTGTTACATTGATAGGGACTGGTTCAGGTATACTTTCACCATATTTGGTCAAATTTGGTCAGTAAGTAAGAAAGCCATAGGGATTTGAAACTCATTGTTTATTTTCAAGATGGCGGGCGTTTCCATAGCTACTGCTGTAGCTATGCCTAAATAAAATTGCTTGTCAAGAGATTTTCCTATGCCTAACTTATATGTGTACTTAGATTTGATCTCGGGCAACAAACAGAAAATCGTCCTCAAGGGTCGCTCCTCCCCTTAAGAATGGCCGCACATTATTACATCACTTCTTCTGGCTGCATCTATCGAGGAAGCAAGTTGAATGCAGCCTTATTTACATGTTTCATAACTGTTTGATAAAAGGCTCAGATTCTTTCCCCAGAAGTGTTACCTGTAACTCTACCGGGTATTAAAAAAAAATTTCCCTTTGTACTTTGTTTAATTTTCCCCCTCTTTTCTATCTCTCTTCCAGGCATGAACCAGTGCCTGGTGCAGCTGTCCACAGTTCCTGTGGCAGTGTGCCAGGGTACAGGCCCCATCATGGACGAGGCCCACGCCAACGCAGCGCACAATGCCCTGCAGTACCTGCGCATCATGATCAAATAACCATGGTGCCCAGGAGATGCCATAGCCTCATGCTGGCCAAGCTGAGAATGAATGGGACTGATGCTTCAAGCACTAGCTACAAAACTAAGCCTTGTTACTTTATGTGTGGTTAAGACGGGGGTTCAAAAGTAAATACTCATATAAACTAGGCTATATTATTAGTTACAGGAGGGGGGCAAAGTTGGACTGTCTCTTTGTAAGAGCTTCGAAGAATTTCAAGTTTCTATAAACTTTTTTAAATTAAGGTTTTGAAAATTTAGTTTCATGATTTGGAGTTATTTTCATATGTGTGGATTTGGTACAGTCACTGCTGTATTGATATTTCTAGTACAGTCGTGTGGGAGAGTGACCGTGTCTAGTCTTGCCATGCTGTTGTCAGTATTTTGAAAAGTATTGAACAAAGTATTGTGAGTCACAGACTTTTTTTCTTTGTTTTTGCAGGAAAAATCTATGGGATTTCAGAAAAAGATAGGATGCATTGTACTGGCTAGTTTAAGTGGTCCACCTTGAAGCTGTTGGTCCAGGTTTGCTAAGCTTGGAGATGGGCGTGAGACTATGTGATATCCTGGGATGTGCCAGGCTTGAGAGAAAGAGTGAGCGAAAGAGGAGTGACTTTGTGTTGTTTTGTAAACGCTTTACTTTGTGCTGTTGCTTGATATTCTTCTATTGATTTCTTCATGTTCGTTGTTGTCAGAAAATTTGTACTTTTTGAAAAAAATCAGACTTATTGGTATGGGGTTGAAGAGCATTTTTGTGCGTGATGTCTTCACCTGTATTCAATGTTTCGTTTTGATTTGATCTAAGTTTATGTCACTACCAAACAGAATCATAAAGTTTTTCTGTTGAAACATGTTCACCCAGTAGCTACGTCCTAATTCACTGCTCTGACTGATGAAAGGCCACGGCACTCGGTACTTCATCTCATCATCCCCTTGAGAAGCATAGCCAAATGTTACAATTCTTATTGTTGTTGTATGGTGTCTCAGATGTCACCCTTTGCTGTCAGACAATTCAGGCAAAAGGACTGTCTGCTGTTGCCGATACTAATTTGGTTTATATAAGAAAGATACATCCCTTTTATGGATGACTGGAGATGCTTTCAAGTTTTTGGCGGATTTGACTTCAGTGTGTTTGCCTTGAAGAATTAATTTTTAAAGTATTTTTTTCATATTCACATGGTGGTTCTATGACAAATGAAGCCATGTTCCCTCATTGTTCATGAATTTCATTACTATTTTTTGGTCAGTTACGTCCTGTATCTGTGAACAGAACTTTTCCAAATTTTAAAAGGTTGCAACTTATTGTGTTGCAAGTGCCGTAAAGCTCTTACTGAAACTAAACCAGATTAGTATTATGAGAGCATAGATTTGGTTTCCTCTAGCTGCATGGACACATAGTAGGTCCTACTCTTACAGTTTGAGGAAGCAATGAGTAAAGGTACCAGTATATTTTGTTTTCTTTTTCTGTTTTCTGTCCAGAGTCTTTAGGCTTTCTGTTCTTAAAAATGTGCTCCACAAAGCTGTGTGCGCTTTGTTGAAGGCTAATTGAGCATTGATAGACAAATTTCCTTAATTTTGCTTGAAAAGGCATTTCTTTTTTAAGACTGTTTCATAGCATACACTACTTTTTTGGCTGAATTCTGTGTCAATATCGTTTAGGTGTGAATCCTTATGTCTGTTCTATTTCTTGATTATGGTAGCCTTTATCTTCTCCCAGTGTAAAGAAGAACCATTCAAATTAATGTGGACTTTTTAAATGTGTGATTTAATCACAGTTCACTCAGGATACATGCATTTACATTCTAACAAACTTGATCAATTCTGTGTCATCTCCAGTCGCCATCACCGTGTTGATGCAGGGACTGGATGATATGGCCTCATTTTTCACTCACTATCATTTTTATAGGATCCTGGAAGGTGTCCTTTATTTAGATGTAAGGGCAGATGCTACTTGATGTCACTAGATGTGGAAAGAAAGGGAAATAAAGGTTGTGAATGGTCTGTTTTGTTTTTATGCTTTTTTTGGAGGTGTTTTAAACATTTCATTTATTTATTATATTTTGAGCTTGAATCTAGATCTGGGTTGTTCATGGTAAGTTCTTGATCATAACTATTTCGGTATAAGCGGTTTGTTGCTATAAATCCAGTGTTGAGGCAGGTAATTTTGGTGCAGGTGATATAGGTTCAAATGTTTTTAGTGTGTTAACTTTTCCTCTTAAACTCAACCTTGTTTGCAAGAAATAAAACATGAGCATTGGGATTGGGTTGTTTTTTTCATCAGGTAAAGATTTCAAATTGGTTTACTGATTAAGCATATTTTGACACTGTGGCTTTCTTTTTCATTTGAAAATAAAGAGAACAGGCTGTTTTTCTTTCCTTAGGATTGTGTTAGCTTGTGTTTGTGTGGTACATCATGTGGGCTATGTTCTTCAGACAAATAACTTTTTCACATCCAATTCTTTTCTATGGACACTGACAGCATTTGCATCTGTCAAGCTCCTAGTTAAGAGTTTTGTTCTCCCTGTCTTATCGCTGATGACTGGCATTGAACGTACAGATATGTCATCATGGACGTTGAATGCTGGGCTTTGTTTTGTCATCTTTCAGTTCATTTCTTTGAGAATTCTTTTTTAAACTTTTCTTTCTGGAAATAGATACTTTCAATTTGTTTTTGGTTTTGAAAGAGTAAGACAGAAAATTTAAGTTAGATTAAACTTTCAACTCATCATAAGGGTTTTGACAAGATTTGGATTTGAATGCCTGGTACTGTAATTTCAGAGATTAAATGCAAAAGTTGATCTTTTCAAACGGTATGTTTGTACACAAAATGGACTTCGAGAATTTTTTTTTTTTTAAATTTTAAGTTAAAGGAAAGACTAGTCCTTTTCTTTACTGGTTTTGACAGAATATATGCTATACCTTTTGTGTGTTGACCAGAAAGTATGTTTCTTGAGGATTGTATAAGTAATACAGCGGAAGTTATTAATAGTGAAATATGCCCAGTTCATCTTGATAGTTTGACGTTTTTCATAGATTGCCTGATGTTGATTCAGGGAGGATAGTAATCTTATGTTGTCTAAGTACAGAGCTCTCTAAACAATATTTAGACGATAATCAAAATATTTGAAATGTACAGCTCTCATGCCATTAGAACAGGACATCTTTTATTCACTTATTTGAAGGATATTTTTACACGATTATTTCATAATATCTGAACCATTGATAATCTTTCACATTTGTTTTTTGGTTTTGCTTTTGTCATGTTCATTAGAACCTCAAATACATTTGTGGAAACTTATTTATTGCTTTGGCTTGTAAGGGAACATTCTCCATTTTACAAACAATGATGACCACTGCGTGTGTGTGTTTATCGATCTATCGTTGCTGCGTTGCTTCTGTGTCAGGAGTAACCAAGCCAGTTGAAAGTCTCCACTTGAAACTGTGAGGTATTTCTTGCCAACTTGTGGATTTTTGGGTTAAAATTATTTTTTTTATTGCCATCACTTCCATCATTGTGTAGTGAGAAGTGCACAGCACTTTGTTGTTGTCTGTGCTGTGTTTACTGAACTTTTCCTACCGCTTTACTTTATGGTATGGGGGGAGGAGGTGGGGTTATGCTTTTCGTCTTTGTTTTTTCTGTGTCATTTGGTGTATTTGCTCTTAAATTTGTTTTGTGTGTTAATGCAATTGTAAAAAGTGCATGTTTCCTTGTAAGCCACTCCTAGACTGCCAAGTTTCTACATCAAGAATGAATAAACTGGTACTTCCACAATGCTGTCTTTGTCTCAAGTGGTTTCATAAGTTGTAATGTTACTATTATTGAAAACTGACTGTCTCTAGTGACTGCTTATTGTAACGTACTTGACGTATTGCACAGGGAACTTGGACATGGGTTTCAAATACTATTGACCATCAGGAATATTTCTTTGCCCTGCAAATATTGAAGCCATTACTGAATTTTTTCTTTGTTTATTGTAACCGCAAAATAGACCCCCCCCC